TTTTTTTTGTTTGTTTTTACAGTTTTTTAAACTTTTTTTCCCTCCCTTAATGTAGGAATGTAGCATATCCTTATCAAAAGAAAATAAGAAATGCAACAGTATATTTTGGTGGTGTCTGCTCACCCTGTTGACTTGAGGCCTGAATTCCCCAGGAACATTGTTCAGTTCCGTCCTATAATACCTGCCTCTTTTTCAAACCCATTGCTCTTTTCTTTTTTAATGCATAAATTTTTAATATGTATCTTTTTTTAAAATAAAATCACAATACCATTATCACACCTAAAAAATGTTTGCAACAGGAATGTCAAGTTAATTTCTGCATTATATGTGGCATGTTGTTTTTTGTTTTGTTTTGAGATGGGGTCTTGCTATGTGGACTGGACTCAAACTCCTGTCCTTGAAGGATCCTCCTGCCTCAGCTTCCCAAGTAGCTGGGACTACAGATGTGCACCACCATGCCCAGCTTACTCCTGGCATGTTTTTGACATTGTTTAAATGTTTATTGATGAACAATTAGTTGAATTTGATTACTAATATATTTGTATCATTTGGTGAATTTTAGTCTCATGTCTGCAATCTGACTTCATAGATTTGTGAATTTGGATTAAATGGATTTTAAAGTATCCTGGCAGAACCAAAGAGCCCCCTTTTTAGAAGCATGTGTCTGTATGGAGTGGAAATGGGGTGTTCTGTCCTGTGACAGTTTGGGGTGAGGTTATGGAGGGGAACACTGAGCTGGAGGTTGGCCCTGGGCTCTCGTAGAGCTGCTGCCTCCAGTCGCAGTGGACTCTGCAGGCCTCTGAGCCTTGGTTCCTTTGTGTTTGAGCGAGATCGGTGTGCTGGCCTGGCTGGGTGGCTGTGACGCTGACTGGTACGCACTGACGTGTGTGTACTGCGTAAACCACAGAGTGCTTTCAAGTGGGAAGACAGTTTTCAGAACTAAACTGTTTTCAATGCACATCACATTGCTACCTCGTAATTTAAAACAAATTCCCTGTACAAAGAAAAAGAAATAATGCTCTAAATGGACGCAGGCAGGCAGGCCTGTGTTTTCCCATGAAGTGTCTGTGATTGGTAAGTGAAAGGCACAGAGATGCTTTTCACCCTCCCATGGCACACTGCCAGATCAAACCCCTCCAAACCAGAACTGGCAGAAGTTTCCTGCATGCAGGTGGAGGGACCTGAAGCTCTCACGTTGGGGTCACATCTAGTCAAAGGGTCTGCCATCGGAGCAGGACCCGGGGCTGGAGAACATGCTTTGCCTTACTCCGTCAGAGTTCCAGTTTTCTGCAGCACACGCGTTCCCGGAGGACAGCTGCCAGCGGAGACGTCAGGGGCCGGGCGTTCTCAGAAGTGCACCCTCTCGGGGAACCACCTGGCTCTGCAGCTTTGTGGTTTCCTTGAATCCAGTCACCAGGCAGAACTTTGCAACAGACAGTAATAAACTGTTGCTTGAGTAATTCCTGTGTTTTTTAGTATGTCAAGAAGCCAAAGTTAATTATCCATTTCCAGTCCTTATTTCAGTTTTAAAAGCGAGGAATCTGCTATTTAATTGTAACAGTGCCGAGACCTGTTCTAAGTGCGTTCCATGTATTATCGGGGTCTCAGACAATCCTGTGAGCACACGCTCCCGTTATCCCCGTGTTGCACACAAGGAAGTTGAGGCGCAAGGAGACTCTGGGCTACCCGAGGTCTCGTGGCGTGAGTGGTGGATCCCGCGTGTGAGCCCTGGCGTTGCGGCTCAGCAGTCGTATTTTAATCCCTGTCTTGCATCTGTAAAATCTCAATTCTCATGTGTTAACTAAAAAAAAAAACTTTTTATAGTCAAATACTTGTTAAAAAGAGAAAGTCTTAATTACCATATAAAATTTGAGTCATTGTATCCTTTAATGTCGTGTTTAAGTGCACCATTGTTTCAGAATGTGCTTTGTTTCAGAAATTAGTTTTGTGACCTGTTGACAAGATACGAAAGTATTTCAAGGTTGCTAATCCATTGCTAGCACCATAGTCATTTTTGCTTTTGGTAGAGGGACCACTAAAAACTTGCAGGTCATGCTCTCACTTTTCAGCCAAGCAGAAGAGAGAGTCAGGAAATTTAAGTTCTGTCTTGAGAGGCTAGGGAAGCGCTCGGGAACGCCGGCCCGTGCCGTTCATTGGCGCGGCGCTTGCATGCCTGCGATCGACGTAGGCCGTTACGGCCCTGAGAGGGGGAAGCGGTCCCCGAAAGCCCCCGCCTTACGCTGTGAGATAGGCCTGCACGGCCAGTCTTGTTCAGGTGGCTTCGTGTGTTATTCCACGGGCGTCTCTTGGCTCCAGGACCCCCCACAGATACCAAAATCTGAAGTTGCGCAAGTCCCTGATTTAAAATGGCATGCTATTTGCATATAACCTGTGACATCCTCCATTCACTTTAAATCATCTCTAGATTACTTATCATTCCTGATACAGTGTAAATGCTATGGAAATAGTTGTTACATTGTTTAGCGAATAATGACCGCAAAAGCCCACACATGTTCAGCAGAGAAGCAGTTTTTTCTTCTCTGAATATTCTCAGTCGGCAGTTGAATCCTCAGACGCAGAGTCTGCAGATGCGGAGGGACAATCGCACTTGTCTTCCAAGGAAAGCCACTGTGAAAACTGTCAGTGCGCTGGCTGCCTGCCTCTAGACATCGTGAGACATTTAATGAAAACAGTCGATGAGGCAAAGCTGCGCTGACACTCAGCGAGTATGAGTCCCTGTGATGGCGTTATCGCCCAAGGCACGCGGTTTCCGTGCTGCCAAGTGCAGCCTGGTGTCGCTGGCAGCAGCTGCAGATCATCAGGGGAGCTTCCTTCCGCGTCACAAAGAGAAGGCTGGGCCTGTGCTGCAGCAGGGCGGCAAGTGGCTCTTGACAAAAAGCAAAATGAGTTACTGTTGTCTGTTAGCCCTTCTGGGGCATTCTGCCAGTAACTGGCAGGAACTAAGGAAGTCCTCATTTCATGTGATAGAGAAATGATTCCTTTCAAACAAAATTTCTAAGTCATTTCGTTGTTAATCCCGTTTCAAATTTTCTATCCATTTTCAGTAGGTAATAAATCATCCTATGCTGTAGTTTTACTGTTCTTTACAATTAAAACAATCCCCACAACAAGCTTTGGGAGATTCAGTTGTTATTCTTCTATTCAATGTGGCCTATCTCAGCTAAGCCTTATTTTAAGTTAATTTTTCATACTTGGAAAATTCATGTTCAAAATAAAGACAGATTAATGATCAGGTGAGTGGGCTGGCAGGGTTGAAGGCCAGCCTCCCGCATAGCTGGTAGGCCTTTCTGAGCTGTGCCGGGTTGGTTTAGAGGGGCAGGGACAGAGAGATCAAGCTGGCACGTACCCCCACCCCGTGTTACGTTTAACATGCCCGGGAGCTCTGTGCGAGCTCCGAGAGTGACCCGCATCGGCGCCGACGCTCGGGAGCCCGAATGCAGATTCCAGGCCAGCACAGATTCCCACGGGGTGCGGTGCTGGTCATACCGGGGTGGCCGTGTTCGGGGCACGGAGGCGGTTCTGGTGGGGGTGGTCGTGACAGGGCTGGGTGGGAGTTCGGGGTGGTTTACAGACTCCCCTGCCGCTCTGGCTCTTCGGCCATTGCCTCCCGCAGTGCCTGTTTCTTTTCTCTCTCTTTTTTTTTTTAAATGTGGAACACTTCATGAATTTGCGTGTCATCCTTGCGCAGGGGCCATGCTCATCTTCTCTGTGTCGTTCCAATTTTAGTGTATGTGCTGCCGAAGCGAGCACTAACAGTGCCCATTTCTGATTGATTGTTATTCCTCAGTTTTCTTTGATCATTTCTTTCTTTCTTTTTTATCAGAGACAGGGCCTCTCTCTGTTGCCCAGGCTACAGCACAGTAGTGTGATCACAGCTCACAGCTCAGATCACTATAACCTTGAACTCCTGGGCTCAAGCCATCCTCCTGCCTCAGCCTGCTGAGCAGCTGGGGCGACAGGTGCATGCTACCATGCCCGGCTAATTTTTTTTTTTTTTTTCAGAGATGGGGTCTCACTATGTTGCCCAGGCTGGTCTAGAACTCCTGGCCTCAAGAGATCCTCCTGCCTTGGCCTCCCAAAGTGCTGGGATCACAGCATCAATGGGCCTTTTTGATCATTTTCTTTCAGTCTGTTAAACACAGGTTTCTGAACTCAGAAAACAATTAAAAACCCATTTGGATACCATTAAGATAGGGTGGTTAGGAGGACATTTTTCCAGCTTAAACAAGTAGGCTTGAGATATTTTTAGTGTAGAATAGACTACTAGACACAAAGACTCTGGATTTAGAGGCTGTTCATCTGTAATATTTTTTTTTAAATTTGGAATTTTAAATTTGAAAAGTAATTTAATTTGTAAAAACTTGTCCTATATTTTTCTTCTAATCTGTATGGTTGGAAAAGATTTATTACCACCTGAGGAAATTGAATGAAATTAGCTCTAATCATTATATTATTTGAGGCCAGGCGTGGTGGCTCACCCCTGTAATCCTAGCATTCTGGGAGGCCGAGGTAGGGAGGATTGCTTGAGCTCAGGAGGTCGAGACCAGCCTGAGCAAGAGGGAGACCCCGTCTCTACTAAAAACAGAAAAATTAGCCACGCATGGTGGCATGGGCCTGTAGTCCCAGCTACTTGGGAGGCTGAGGCAAGAGGATCGCTTGAGCCCAGGAGCTTGAGGTTGTAGTGAGCCACGATAATGCCACTGCACTCT